GAATTTAGATAGTGGAATAAATTGATAAATTAAAATTAGCGGCTTTCATAAAGCAGACGTTGCGTTATACAACCCTTTTGCAAATAACAATTTTGATTAAAAAGTAAAAAATGTATGCAGCAACCATAGCTAGATTCCTTTAATTTCAGACTAGAAACAAATTGATAGCTCAAATTGCTTACAGTGGAGCGGTTGCCTGCAATGGTTTGAATATCGTCGGCTCTATCAAATGTGCTCAAGTGGTAAGATGATGACATTCACTACAGTATACTATGTTGTTCAACAAAAAAAAATAGAATTTTTAGGTGGCCAGGCAACATGTTCACTTTGTCATCGTTTGTATAACTTTATTTGGAACTATTATTAGTTTTATTTTACCTGTACTTGTTACAATTCTTTGTCCCAATAATACCGTCGATGAGGTACGTCGATAAGTGGTAAGCTAAGCTTTTTTTCTTAATCTGACTGATCTTATTCCAGTGGTCACGGCTATTTCTTGGTGTAAGCGGATTTGTTATAATAACTAACATTCCATTCTTATTCCTTGCGAGGGGAGAACCCGCTCCGTGGACGAAATCAATTCCCAAATATAGTGCCAATCTTGAACAGGGATTCAGAAGAATTACGGATGATGAAAAATTCCCACAAGATCAGAAATATCCGTCTGAAGTGAAGTTTTCTTGAAAAGTTCAGCATGAATAGTCTCAAACGCCTGAGACCATGTGTCTTTTCATATTTAGGTGCTATTGTATTATATAGCAAACTTGTTGTTTATGTCTTCTTTTACATAAATCAGGTTTTTAAAGGTTGTAGCTTTTATGCACGTTTTGTTGTTACCATTGTTATTGCTCAATATAACTCATGTATAAAGTTGCTACCCTCGTTTTATCTTTCAGAAAGACGTTTTTGGAGAAAAAGCCAGGAACGAACAAAAGAATGAGTATATGAATTAAATGGGTCGAAATGAAACTGATTGAAAGAATGAATAAATGAAGATAATATGAGTGAATAATTAAATAGGTGGAAGAAAAAATGTAACAAAAAAATAACTAGTTAAATAGAAGAATGAACAAATTTTGTCACATTAAGAGCGCTGTGGATGCCTAAAATTGTGAGATCCAAGCTTCGTTACTTACATTGTATGAGTGACATACAAATGGCTTTTACGAATAGGTTGGCTGCAAAAATTATTTCAATTAACTCCTTCTTTTTGGAGTAACCTTCAATAGTCGTTTTTAAGAGTAATAATATGGTTATATT